CTTTTTGGAAACCGTCGAGATCGTCCCGCCATCGTCGCCTGGGCCTACTACGTTGTCGTTTAGCGCCTTGTGGGACCCAAGTGGTGCTAATTTTTGCCCATAGATCTGTCGGCATGCGGCAAACGTTTCTGGCCCAGTCCCATTTGAGTGCAGCGGCTTTATGAGTGACATCTGCTATTTGTGTTTTGGAGCGTAGTGCTGTATTTCTTATTCGGTCTGTAAGCTGTACGCCCAGAATACTACGCTCCATGGCTCGCAGGCAAACCTTCAGCGCGAACCTCTGCTGTCCAGTTAAAGACCAAGTTTGTGCACCATATGTGATAATGGGGAGGATGCACATGTCCATGAGCTTACGCTTATGACATAAGGGAAGGTTACCTTTCATGAGGTCCTTTATCGACCAATCGTTGACCAATGTCAATGTAACGATTTCTTCAGAAAATAATGATGATGTGAAAGAGGAAAAGTCTTTGGGCATAAACTTAGCGGCTACAACTGGAATCGTGGCAGCAGGCATCGAGCAGTTTGAAGAATTATTTTCTGCAATAGACATACACGTCTTTTCGATAGATACATACGGACAATTGCAAAACAAGGTATATGAACATTGGGAACTGACAGCAGCTGATACTATGCAAGCAGTATTACTGCTATCTATTGATAAGGAGAGAGAAATAGCAGTATCCGAAAGTCTAACTAAAGGTGGATATCCAGTGACGATGTGTATGCCGATGGAACATGGAGTGCGCGCTCTTAAGGCACCAATTTTAAGGCCCTTTCTGGCGCTGCTGCTATTATTGGCAGAAAAACAGGTGCGGTCTTGTACATGGGTGTAAAAAATAAATACTGTTTGGTTTGTAGCCAGTCTAGTAAAAATAACATAACGCCTCCAGAACATTAATGCTACAAAAACTTTGATGGTCATCTCCCTCTATGGAAGCAGATATAATTGCGGAGGGTTTTAAAACATCTATTTCTATGTACGGAGTAATATACCAAAGACTTATAGCAGATGGTGACTGTTCCACATATGCTAAAATTTAAAGGACACAAGGAAAAACACTGAATTTGACTGTTGACACAATAGAATTTCCCAATCATATTTTACGAATTTTTTGTAAAAAGAAGCGGAACCTTGCCAAAGAGACAACATTTTTCTAGTTGCATAGAAAAACTTTAACGAACCAATAAATAATGGCTACGAGAAAATTAATTATTCGGTCGAAAAAATATCACCACCAGTCTGATGTTCCGAAAAACGATGCAGTCTCGGTACCTCATAAAGATATTCAGTTGAACACGCTTACGGAGATCATAGAATGTGCCATGATTACGACTGTGAGCATGATGGAGTAAAAGGTGACATTAGGCAAATACGGAATAGTACATTTTTATTTATACTGAATGCCATTGTTGCAACTGTGGCTGGGAAATCAAGAAGTTTGATTCAAAATGTTGATACCAACACGGTCGAAAGATTTAATAATGTTATAGCTAAATTTGTGGGTGGGAAAAGAATTAATTTTGTACTGGGGAAGATGTGCAGCAGCAGTGGTATCTTTTATCAGGAATTCCGCCATTTCAGCTGAGCAAAAACACAATATTAAATAGAAGTCCTTCAAGCAGAGTTTTGAAGTATGTGGAAAAAAAGGACCCATAAACGTAAATTCGATTTGGAACATCAATTAAAAAAGATACGTTGATTTCAAAACGCTAATAACGACCTATAGCACGACTATGGTCAAGCTAGGTCGGCACCAGATATGTCAATGTTTGATTAGGAGCGAGGAAAAGCTAGTTATTTAAACAATTTAATAAATCTTATAGCAGACAGAGATCATATTGAAAGATCGACCGTCGTACAAAGGGACTCGAGTGAGTGGCTTGAAATAAAAAAAAAATAACAGCTTCGAATTTAAAAAATATTTGCAAGAGGTAACCCTCTACGGATACATCGTCTTTGGTAAAAAATATTTTGTACAAAAATAATTTGTCGCAAGTGACCTCGGTAGCTCATGGGATTGAAAATGAAAAGCAAGCCATACAACAAATTCAGCAAGAAAACCAATTGAAAATTTAAGCTTGTGAACTTTTTGTTGATAAGCAGTACTCATTTATTGGAGCTACACCTGATGGCTTGATTGGGAAAGATATGTTGGTTGAAGTGAAATGCTCATTAGTTGCTGCCAAAGAATGATTGCAGCTAGCCCTACAAAAAAATAATCGATAACTGGTTTCATCAAATTCAAGGTCAGTTACATGTCACAGGCCATTAAAAATGTCTTTTTGGTTTGTGGGAATCATAAAATGAAACGAGTGGCATGCCAATCCGAAACATATTTTTAACCTCAGGAAAAGAAAATGAAGCATCATCAGGCTCTTTAACATACGCTTCAATTCCGAGTGTATCTGACACTAATATTATACAGTACACTAATTTTTGAAATTATCTTTGAAATAGAAAGCGAAATATCAATTATTATATAAATGAAATTGATAGAACCAATTTAAGTATGTTGGTAAATAAGGTCTCTTCAGACAGCACTGTAACGGAACGCACCATTGTAAGCTAACTATGCTGTGCGAATAGGAAAGACCGCTTGCCTATTGCGCTTTGATATGATTGATATAAAACTTAAGAAAGTTTAGAATAAAACCTCCGCCTCAATCATCATCTTTTATTAAAGTTATGTGAATTTTTCAACTTATGTTGTGTGTATTATTAATTAAAGCCTGTATTATGGTACCCAATCTGCTGATAAACTCATGAAGTAAGAGAAATTTGTAGAATAAGGTATTAAAAAAATCTATTGTTTATGAGATTTTGAGTAAACAAATTATATATGTAGGAAGTAATGACCTAATATCCTATAACAAATAACTAATAAAGCTTAGTTCGCCTGTTTAAACGGTCCTTTAATTCCAATATTTTTTTTAATTTCGTGTATACCTATTTTAGTAGAAAGCTAACACACAGGTAAATAACAAAATTTAAAAGTGCTAAAGCTAATTAGAATTATATACCTCAAACGTGATATTCTTTTCTAACTACTGCATTACGCTACACTGTGGTACAATATCTGGACGTAACTTTGAGTGGCGCGCAGCCGACTCGCGCAGCTTTTTGACACGCTGCGTCTTTGCGTACGATACGTTAGCGGGGGGTGAGGTAATGTTTGCACACCTACACACCGCGCTGCAAGAGCGCCTGAAGCATATGTGATAAACTTACTTGTTGTTACTTTTTTATTTATTTTATGTTTATTTTATTTTATTTGGAAAACAAACAGTATTAAAAACTTAATGGTAAGAGCAAATAATGTAGCTAAAAACCAATTAATTGTTTTCACATATAAATAACTATTAAAACCCTGTTTGTTAAAAAAAATAAAGAAAAAATTAACTACAATCAATTTCAATACTACATCACACATAATAAAATGCTATAAAGTATAATTTATGCAGTTATTGAACCAGTTTAATGTTTGGAAGTATTTGATTAAATACATTCGGCTTAGTAGTGAATAAGTCAAGTTTGGAAAAGTCGACCAACTTATTGTAGAACTTAGCGGATCTTATGAAGAATGAATTCTGTCTGTAGTTTGTGCTGCATCGGGGGACGTTAAGAACTCAATCTTGGAGAGAAGTTGTTTGGCGTCGATGTAAGATTGTGCTAATGTAACGAGGAAAGAGGTATCCGATATACTTCTCCTCTCCCAAAGTGGCAGCAAATGGTACCTTTTGCACCTCAGTTCATAATTATCATCGCGGGTTTTACACTTGTACTCAAGGTATCTCGTAAAGTTTCTCTGGATAGATTCCAACCTTTTAGTCTTAAAAAGATTAAAAAATAATTAATAATGACTTAATAGGAAAAATAAATTATAGTTTAAAAATCCTACGAGTAAAAATCACGCTTTTGTAACTATGCGAACTAAAGAGTAGGAAAATATTTTCTATAAGTTCCAAAAGAAAAATCATTTTATCGTAAAACATAAAATAAAAATTATGTTATACTTGCAAAGCACCTCACGCTTTTTACGATACATTTTATAGCTACAAATAGGTGTCTTTTTTGTTTTTTTTTACTATAATTTATTTTAAGTTTAGCATTTTACATTATTATGTAAGTTACACCACAGTACCATCAGAACATAACACGCTACCGACTTGTAGCTAGTTACGCGAATTAACTCATAATAATAAAGCCATACAACATATACTTATAATGTTGCTTGATAGAGAGGCAACAGCCTCTGAAAAGACTATTAAGGACGGAAAGAGGCTGCATCGTCGAAAAGCAAAAGTACAAATGAAATTAAATGACCACTACGTGTTCTAAACACTCCATCAGATTAATGAAAGTCTCTCATCCTCAGTTTAATGCAGTGAGTCAAGGTAATGGCGTTCCTCACGCATACTGCACAAGGTACTCCGGCATTTCTTAATCAAGGAAAACCGAACGGCGAAAGCACATATAATAAAACTAAGATAAAATAAGCTATAGTGGTAATATAGGTATAGCATTAAATAAAATTACTTCGTAGTGCAAAGTTAAGTTCCTCATGTAATAGTTTTTATAAGTGGTATAAAGTCTGACATAAAGATGATGCACCTATTTAGTCTCTATCTCCCTCTCTCTATTTCTCTAAATATATCTTTTTTCACTTTTTATGTCGTAGGTAATTTACCGTAGATAGAGTTAATAGTAAGTTTATTAAAATATTATTAAAATTTATAATTTCATCAAATCTTAAAGAGAAATTCACCTTCTGGAACACTGAAATCTAATCGGAGAAATATATACATCAATTTTCTGATTACATTTCTTGCTGTTACTGCTAATAACATGGGCTAATAACTTTTCAGATAGTTCGCGATAACTGCAAATTAGATCTTTGATTATCCTAATGGAATAAGTGTGTAGTACACGTATATTACTGGTACTGGTTAGAATTCTGAGTATTAAACAAAAACAGGAATTGCGTTGTAATCGTCCAATGTATAGAGGACTAAAATGTATTTTGACTTTTATCTATTCACCAATATTATTGACGCTAAGTCAAGAATACGGGGAACAGAATCCGCCAACAACAGAAGAGTGTAAGTGATACAACTAAATATATAGGAGTGTTTACAATAGTAATAATAACCGTACACATCTCACACACGACCCTCTGATCCCAAATTAAGCAGAGCCTGTACTGTGGTGACCAGACTGCTTAAAAACATACTTATATATTATTAATATATACATACATTTTATAGATAAAATTAAACCCAGACATAGAACAAATAATAATAATAAACATTTATTTGTGAATATGGGTACAATGGTAAAGTTGTTACAAATGTTGATCGTGCTCATCACACAGTTATTTGTCCTAGGTGGGAATCGAACCCACGAATTGCGGTTTAGCAGCCGACGCTTCAAAGATGGTTTTTATGGAATCCGTGTTACAAGACGATAACTGTAAAAAACGGACATTAGACAGTTTGGACTTACGTGATCAAAGCACGGTTCGGATATAGAGGGAGGTTCGATCATATCTATTTTAGCGTTTCGTTCCTCATAAAGAAAAAAGGATCCCTTATTCAATCACTGTAGTCTGTCTGACTAATTTATAGGGTAATTACCACTTACCTAAAAGCCGACAATATTGCAAAAATCAAGGTCCTACAGAAGAACTATTTACTTATAAGTTTTTTTACTTACCTTTGGAGCACGAGACAGTCTTACACTTGAACGGTTGTTATTTATGCATGTTCACCGATATTTGAAATGTATTGAGAATCTCTATAATATACTTATTGAAAATACTTGGTTGAATATATCATAGCCCACAATTCTCACTACTTGCAATATATTTTTCTTTAACTTAACTCTATACTGTGGCATTAACTTGACCCAATAATATAATCACAAACATAATACTTATATTTCTCGTATTTCAACGCAAATGTATTTTGTTATAAAATAAATGAAAAGAAAATGAAATGAAATATGTTTTCAGCGGAAGAATTGACTGACCCCGTACACCCTGACTTAGATGCATTTCTCGACGTAGATGGAGTGTACGGCTTGTATACAACACAAAATTTCGAATATGTCAACTGGCAACATTACTATGAAGATGAACCATATTTTCTAAAAGAGGACTACTATCATGTCGTTCTGATAGACGCGAGATGCAGTGCTGATCACGTCAAATGTCTCTCAAATTTGTAAGTACTTGTTATTGTTAACGTAAGACCTCAGATCAACCGCAAACTAACCACATACTTATGATCCACTGGCATCGTATGTTCAAACGCATGTTCAACATTTATTTCACCGGTTCTATATTAACCAATCTATATATTTTTTCCTTTATTCTACGATTTTTTTTTATTATTTAAAAAACAAGCATTATGAATTTATATTTTAATTACATTTTCTTGAAAATGGAATCTCAACATTTTACTTTATTTCATTATTTTCAGGGAGATGCCTATACCAGTCTGTGCATACTTTTGGAAGACTCAGGTCGAGTATCATCGTTACAAAGTATTTGAGTCATATTGTCATGTATATTTAGAAAACTGTTTACATCGTCATAGTAAGTACTTAATAATCTGCGAGCATAGTAGTGCCCCGCAATGATAAGCCAAGCGAAGCGCAAGGCACTACCTACCTTTTCTCGAAGCACTTCGTTGTTTTTTTTAACCCTCAAACTCAACTCGGGTTGGGATTATACCAGATGAACAAACTTCTCGGGATATAATGTTAATCGTAGACTTATTAAACATATAAAGTTTCAATTGCATAGCTTTTATACTTTAGATTTTATTGATATCTCAAAAACCCCGAATTCGACACTGACTCACTGACGATCATCAAATTCTTAGACCTCGTGGCGGCCATCGGAGTGGGAGTTCTCTCGCTCGATAACCTGATTGCGGCTATCGTGCGGAGCGAGAGTGCGTGGAGTTCTGCCGTCTCCTTCTGCAAGCAAGTTATGCTCGCGAAGGAGACGGCGCAGCGGGACCGGGAGAGGTTTAGAACTCTCCCGGCCCGCCAGGCCCGGGAATGGGCCAGGTACCGCAGGCGACTCAGGCGCCGGAGGTCGCAGAACGACCTCCGGCCTCCATAAGCGCAGGCCTGTGGGTGACAGGTGAGGCCATCTTTCACCCTAGCAGAAGCAGGCCAGGGTGGCGGCGAGCGCGTTGCGAAGCGCGCTCGCTTCCAGGCAGCAGGGGGAACATGGATTTCCCACACGGGGGGGGTCGTCTACTCGTCTGTAGATGGCCCGAGGTATATCGGGGCACCAGGGACTTTCTAGGGTATACCTGGTTCCCCGGCTATTAGTACCCGAGACGGCGTGCTGTTTTAGTCGGTTCGAGTCCGACATGCTACCGATAGGTGGTATCCGAGGGGATTTCTGGAAGTCGTAGAAAGCTGAAATTTAGTATGTAAGTTAGTGCACTTCTTCTCTGTTATGTCTCTCTTGACAGAGCGATAATGTTCACGTTGAGATGTCGCTGGTAGAGGCGGACACCCTTCGTACAATCTCCCGCCATCTCTCCCTGTTGGCAGACTGCGGATACAGTCAGACACACAACCTCGCATTGATGATTCTACCTGGTCGGTCCAGCGCATAGGCACCCTGTCGCAGAAACTGGTTCCTTGCATCTTTCCCTGCACTACCAGTCGCTCTATGGAGGCGTTATTCCGTGAATATGGCCAAAGTACTGCAGTATGCGCGACTGTACTGTAGTTTACAGACGTTCTGTGATGCCGAGCTCCTGAAGTCCGTCCATGACATCCCAAGCATTTGCCTCCAGCACCACATCTCTAGAGCGTCTATCTTCTTCTTTTCAAACTCGTGCACCGGCCACGTCTCTGCGGCTAATAGTAAAGTGGAGAATTTAGTAGCTTTGGTGAAGTTGCGATTTTGCCAAACTTTCCTTAACTTCTCCATTACAGTCCTGGTCATGGCCAAACGTCGTTTCACTTTATCTATGCAGACGCCTTCAAGTGAGATCAGAGCCCCAAGGTATACGTAGGTCTGAACTACATCCCAGTTCACAATCTGTGTCACTTCGGGCGAGTTATCGTTGACGGTATATGATCATCACTTTAGTCTTAGATCGGTTTATCTTCAACCAAAAGATAAGGCTTAAAATCCATATTATTTCAAATCTACCCACCATTCTTAATGACCACTAGTTTAAAATATTAAATCAACTATTTATATTCTTCCACTTTCGTTACAAAACTACCTAACTACGAGTGTACTACATCCACAAGGCCGGCATCGCGCTTGTGAGTCCTGAGTTGCAGGTGTTCATGGGCGGCGGTAGTCACTTTCCATCAGGTGACTCGCCTGCTCGTTAGCCCCCTCTTCAATAAAAAAAACTACGCTCATTATATGTTATCTCATTATATATTCCATAAATTCTCCAAAAAGTTACTCTGAGGTTGCATGAGCTTTGAACCGGTGGCGATTGCACCAGCGTCCACCGCACCACCTGAAAAATCATACGCATATAGCGTGGGTACGAGTATATGTATGTGATATACGTTAATAGAAGAAGGTTGTAAGTTTAACTTGTTGTATTGCTATACCTTCGTAAGAATGGGTCTGGACTTATGACCGCAACCGTACATTTACCCTACAATTAGTTACATGCTTTTCAAGATCTAACGACTTATCATTTATTTCAGGACGTTACCGCATGTTGAATTACGGTGGCTGTTATCTAAATAATGATGAATATCCTAGCAAATGGCAATATCCTCCTCATGAGCCTTCACCTTTTGACATTCCTTACAATACCTGGGGTTGAGGTGTTTTTAGTGTAGGTCTCTTTAGTATGTAAAAAAAAATTGGTTCTTGTTGGACTTCTAACAACAATAAATATGGCAAATCTTATATATATAAAAGAAAGTCGTGTTAGTTACACTATTTATAACTCAAGAACGGCTTTACCGATATGGCTGAAAATTGGTGGGGAGGTAGCTTAGAGCCAGGAGACGGACATAGGATACTATTTATTCCGTTCGACAGTTTTTTTTTTTTTGTTTTTTTACGAACTTTGCTTTACTCGGAGATGCCACGTTATTATACTTGGAATGCTTCATCGAAGAATTTTCAAAGACGGAAGCAAGGCGATGCAGTTCCTGGGTATCCGGATGTGCATTCCACTGATGCTCTTGGTCGTATGTATACAGTTCATCCAAATAATGATGAATGTTTCTATTTGCGGTTGTTGCTGATAAATGTGCGTGGGCCAACGTCATTTGAGACACTACGGACTGTTAATGGTGTAATATTCCCAACATATCGTGCTGCATGTGAAGAACCGTACTTATTAGAAAACGATACCCATTGGGATACGACAATCGCTGAAGCCATTATCTCTGCATCTCCAAGTCAGATACGCACATTATTCGCTATCATAATTTAGACATGCTTTCCATCAAACCCATGTAACCTGTGGCACAAATATAAGGATAATATGTCAGAAGATATTTTACATTAAATTCGTATCACTTCCAGAAATCACGATGTTGAGATGAATGAGGAGATACATAATCGTGCTTTACTCTTGATCGAAGATATGTGTTACCTCATGTGCGGTAGTTTATTAATCAGGTTAGGAATGCCAGCGCCCAATCGTGAAATGAATGACGCATTTAATCGAGAATTGGAACGGGAACGTTAATATGATCACCAGGAATTAGATTTAGTAGTTCAAACGAATGTACCCCTGTTGAATTCCCAACAAAAGGAAGTTTATGATACTTTAATAAAGGCAATCGATGATGGAAATGGTGGTTTATATTTCCTAGATGCCCCTGGTGGAACAGGTAAGTCATTCCTCATGTCAGTAGTTTTAGCCACTGTTCGTGCGAGATCCAACATATGCATAGCGGTTGCAGTTGCTTCTTCTGGAATAGCAGCCACATTGTTAGAAGGATGCCGTACGGCTCATTCAGCATTAAAATTACCGTTAAATCTTCAAACTATTGAAGAACCAACGTGTAATATTACGAAAAATTCAGCAATGGCCAACGTTTTATCGGCATCGAAAATCATCATCTGGGACGAATGCACAATGGCGCATAAACGTGCATTAGAAGCACTTAACCAAACATTGAAAGATTTACGGAATGGCTCGAGATGTTTTGGAGGAGCAATGATTTTACTGTCTGGCGATTTCCGCCAAACACTGCCAGTAATTCCAAGATCTACGGCTGCCGACGAAATAAACGCTTGCCTCAAATCGTCGAATCTAAGGCACTATGTGAAGAAACTGCGGCTGACAACAAACATGAGAGTTGCATTGCTTAATGATACATCTGCTCAAGATTTCTCTGAGCAATTGCTGACTATCGGTAATGGTCAAGTACCTGTCGATGAATCGAGCGGATTGATATCATTTCCAAATAATTTCTGTAATTTTGTCTCATCAAAAGACGAACTTATCAACAATGTATTTAAAGACATTATTTCTAACTACAAAAATAATGAATGGTTGAGTGAGCGAGCAATTTTAGCGGCTAAGAATAAAGATGTAGACGACCTGAACTATGTAATTCAAAATAAGATCATTGAAACAATGCATTCATTCAAATCTATTGACTGCGTCACAAATGAAGATGAAGCCACCAACTATCCAATTGAATTTTTAAACTCCATTGATGTGCCTGGCTTACCACCGCACAATTTACGCCTAAAGGTTGGCTCCGTAGTAATCATGCTTCGAAATATAAACCAACCAAAACTGTGCAACGGTACGCGTTTGGTGGTTAGAAAATTGATGAACAATGTAATTTACGCGACGATACTGAAAGGAAAATTCAAAGGTGAGAAAGTTCTCATTCCGAGAATCCCGATGATCCCAACCGATTTGCCGTTTGAATTTAAAAGACTTCAATTTCCGATCCGTCTTGCACTTTCCATGACCATCAACAAATCACAAGGCCAATCCTTAAAAGTTTGTGGTTTGAATCTAGAACATCCATATTTTTCCCATGGTCAATTATATGTGGCATGTTCACGGGTACTGAAATGCAGAAACAAATAAAATAAATAAATGATTAATGTACTTCATTTTTTTTTCTAAGAAAAAAATTAACTTACTAAATTCGAAAATCGGCTTATTTATTGCCTTTAAGGCTTTACTTATATAAACTAAAATAGACAATTTCGTTGTAATCGGATACATACTCGTATAGTCTTCTGCCTCCGGATTAACCTATACTTAAATCAAGTAAAGATTTATTTAATGTAAATGTAAATGTCAATAATAAAACGTTATATTAGAAACTTAGATTTTATTGATATATAAAATTATAGTCATGAGTAATGAATTTATAGCAGTTAAGAGGTACTTTGATCTACATAAAAATCGTACATCTTTGCCTTAAACCTTTGCGTTCTAATTTTGTACCAGTTCTGGCCATGTAGTACGGGCTAAGAATACGGAGTTGTCACAACCCCTATTTATCCCGCGGGTGTCGTAAATGTCAACTTAGGGAACAAAATACGTAGGACAACAGCACTGCAAAAAGAAGAAAAACTTGAAACAGACCCTTTCTTTTTTTTTTTTACGTGCGGAAATCCCCTCGGACCCTCACCCCACCGGGGTTTGCGGCGGGGTGGTGTGTCGGACTCGGACCGACTAAAACCACACGGTGTGCCACTCTGCGCCTGTAATAGGAGGGATCCGGGAACAGCTGTTATTAAGACATCCGGACCCCTCCTAGCGCCTGCCCGCAACGGCGCGGGCACCCCCTTCGGTAAACTCTCTATTTAGGCGACGTCCGGCACACGCGGACGCCGCCCCCTCGCGGCTGGCCAAACTAATGCGGGTGGAGGGGAAACCCACCCCGTCCACCCGCGGCCACACTCAGGGCGGCATGAGGCGGTGATAGGCCCGCCTCCGCCGCCCGGTTTGCCGGCGGCGGCTCGGGTCCGAGTGGAGGTCGTCCTCCCGGGCCTTCTCCGCCGCCTCCTTCTGCGAGATTACTTCCTCGCAGAAGGTTGCGACCGCGGTAAAACAACTGTCGCTACCGGCCATGGAGCGTACTACGGCCGGTAGCGAGAGATCCACTCCGATGACTGCAGTGAGGGCCCGGCGCTGCGCCGCCCATGCGGGGCAGACCGCCAGCGTGTGCTGGGCCGAGTCCTCACTGCAGTCGCAGTGGTGGCAGGCGGGACTCAGTTCCCTCCTAGCGACCGAGTGCAGGTACTTTCCGAAGCAACCGTGCCCGGAAAGCACCTGCGTCAGCCGGAAGGTAAGGGTTCCGTGCTGCCGCCCTGCCCACTCGGCGACGACCGGCTGGAGAGCCTCCACGGCGGCGAAGCCAGCGTGTGGAGTAAGAATAAGAGAGCATGGAATAAGAGAGCCTCCGTCTTATCTAGGGCCACCCGTAAGCCCAGCGCCTCAATGCGCCCAACCACCAGGGAGACTCCCCTTGTGGCCAGGCGCGCCGACTCTTGGAAGTTCGCCCCCCGGGCTGTCACCAGAGTATCATCTGCGTAACAAATTACACCCGCCCGGGGGGAAAATCGGCTCGAAGGACCCAGTCGTACCCTATGTTCCACAAGAGGGGTCCAAGAACAGACTCCTGTGGAACACCGCACGACATGGGCCGACACCTCGAATTACTGTCTCGGTCCTCGTACACGACGGTACGCTCCTCTAAATAGTCTGCCACTAGCCGCCTCAGGTACTTTGGCACCCCATGATAGTGGAGTGCTTCCCTGATGCAGCTGAATGGCAGACTTGAAACAGACCCTATACCAACCCGTCTGGCCACCGTGGTATAGTAATACCACGGTGGCCAGAACCTCATTTCTAAGGAGAGGCCTATGTACACTTAAACGTACACTTTTTTTCGTTACTGTAAGGTGCGCTATGACGTTTTCTATGCCCCCGTTCAAAATATCAATTGAGTAATTAAGCTGTAAGGCCTAAGAAATAAACAAAGTTATTATTATTACAATTATTTTCAATTATTAATAATAAAGAAGACAGGGTATTTATTTGCCGTCATATACTAGTGGCAAGTCCTAATAACCTCCACTAGGATGTTAGTATTTTTTGCAGCAGCCCCGGAATGCACCCAACGCGGCGCGTTCCGCGGCTGCTTGGGAGGGAGGTTGCGTCACCTACCGACTGACGCAGGTACTCACTGGGCATGGTTGCTTCGGGGAGTACTTGAATCGGATTGGACGCGAGGAGACGGTACAATGCCAGCACTGCGCAGCCGACTGGGACTCCGCCTAGCATACGCTGAAAGAGACCGCTGAACGGGATCGGGAGAGGGCCAATCCCGAGCGTAGAGGACGTCGGCGGCGATAACAGCCGTTGACGGGACCGCAGGCTGCCAGAGGTAGGGAGGAACCTCTGGTGGCAGATTAACAGCTGCGGTAGGCGATAGGATGGCAGCCTTGTCGCAAAAATGCTATCGGGCCACAACATAAAGTATTATAACGATTGGGCCGATAGGCGGGGGAACGCTGCTAGGCTTTACTGGACGCGGCGCCGATCCGGGGGAAATAACATAGTCCGGGTCCTCCTCGGAGTTGGGCACTACATACGAATATCCGGCTCCTACATCCCCATGGAGCCGGAGATCCGAAAGGATTTTCTACCAGTCACTAAATCAAAAAACTTCTTATTCATAGCTTGTATTTCAAGGGAAGCCCAAATGTAGAATCACTTGTTTCAGCCTGTCTGTAATAAATCGTGAACAAGACGTATTCTCAGTGCACTACCCGATGTTGGAATGATTGTTACCTTTAGTTCTACACGCTCTGTATGATTTGAAGAAA